CAGTTTGCTAATTTGTTTGCATTTCATTGCTGCAAACTCAATTAATGCATTTGCAAAAAAAGACATGAAAATGATCAGTTTATATTTCTACTAAATGCTATGGTTATAGTAAAAACGGGCAACAAATGAACATAATTATAATTATCATTAACACATATTTTCTAATGTTTCAATAATTAATTCAACCAATCTTGAAAATTCAATTCACCCAAGTAAACAAATATAAATCTAGGAATACCTCGCATAATCGTCAATATTTCGGAGTATGAAACCGGACTAATTGAGTATTTTAAACCATTGACTATAATAAATCGCACAAAAAGAGACTTGAAGAGACATAAAGAGAAGAATACGATCATTTTTATATAAAATATGCACTTTTTTTAAAATTTACTTTGCTTAATGAAAATTTACTTTGTTTTGAAATTTCTAAATATGAATAATGTGAATCCGGACTGTCCGAGGTATTAATGTACACTTTAATGAAAGTCCTCTGAAGAATGCATTTCCGTTAAATTATGTTTCTGGATTGAAATGGAATTATTATACAAATATACAAGTTTTCGTTGTTAAGAAATGTCGATATCAATTGATTACTAAAGACTTCCTTAACATTTTTGTTTAAAATGAAATCTTATTCAGGGTTGAAATGGAATAATTCTATACAAGCAAGTTCTTTTGTTGTTGAAAACTAACCATAGTTATTTTATCTCAAGTAATTGATATAAAAAATATAGTCAATATGTTCATAATTTCATGTAAATGAACAAAATTAAAAAACAAACATTACAAAAATATTGACAAGGATTTACATAAAATTACAAATCTAGTTCAACTTTACTTTACTTTAGTTGAAAAAAAAACAGTTAACAGTAAACTTATTTGAAATATTTTTTTCTAATACAATATTCATACATTTTTTTTTCTATTTTCATAATCATTGCAAAATATAAAGTTTTCGTGTAACCTCTAGACTTTCCAGTTATTTTCCACACTTAGGATAATATTTCACAGCCGCGACAATTTAGATTATATTTATATGCTCGATTCGCATTATTTTTACGTGCCATGTGCGTAGTTCCAACCACGCTTTGGGTTTCAGCTTACATGAATAATTGTTTTAGTTTTGCGGAATCAGATTGCACGTAATTTATAGGCAATTTAATAGGGACAACTTTCGCATAGGATTATAGTCGTCATTCATAGGATTAATCTTAATATGTAAACTTTACTCAATACAACAACAAAAATGGAAATATTCAGTTCATTATGTTTTAAGAAATAATAAAATGCACAATTTATTATTATATATTGGAAATACTCAATTTCTTATTGTAATAGAAATATGAATGTATAACATTTACTTTTTATTATTATATAAGATTTTAGATTTCGCATAAACGTGTTTTAAATCTGATAATATCTAATTTATGAAATAATTTCACGTGACCACTGTGAAAACTGACCTTTACGTATATTTTTTTAAATATATCTAATTATCATTTATATAAGTAAATATTCAAGGTATGAATTTCACAAAATTTGTTCAATTTCTTTTTAAAATTTCTAGAATGATTAACTAATAAACATAAATAACAATATTTAGCAAAATGATGATATATCTTAGGACACATCTGAATTATCCTGATTACAAACCAGTTTTTTTTTGCGGTAGATATGACCGCATAAAAAAAAATCGCACAAAAAAATATTCGAAATTGTCATAAATTCTTACATATAACAAATAACTTTGTATAATTCATAACAAAAACTTTTTTATGTAGGAAATAAAATAAAACGAAATAAATAATAAAATTACACATGGAAACATTTAACTTCTCATTGTACATATGGCGAAATTTTCAAAATACACATACATAATTCACGACTACTCGTGTTAATCTAAAACGAACATCTTCTTGGTTTAAAATCGACAAATAGAATCGTTTGAGCAGACTGAACATATGCACACTAATAGAGAACATTACAATGGTGCCAACACCGTTGGAATTGGTTGGATTTCATATACCGCATAAAAATAAACCGCACAAAAATAGGTTTTAGTGTATATCAAAGAGCTATTTGAACGGATTAACTAATAGAATTCATGAATTCGTTATAAATTTGTAATAAAACATAAATATAAATATTCACATAAATACATTATAATTGTCCTTTTACAATTGATGATTTTTTGTGGTTTCATTTACATAAATATTCTGAATGGGAATCAGTAAAATTTTAATAAGAATTAATAAAGTCTTTCAAATAAGAAAAAAACTATTTTCAATCTTTGATTCAATATTGATAGTGTTAAAAATTAATTCATACAAAATTCTAAGTCAAAATATATTACATAGAAGAAATTAGTTTAAAATTTGTACAATTTTGAGCATCAAATTTAATATTATTGCATGTTTGTCATTTGCATTTGTATAAAAAAAAACAAAATTAAGAAAAACTGCAGTAATATTTGTATAAAATTTTGTATATTTACTATTTAATTAGTTTCAATTATTAAGAAAATATTTATATTTTTTCTCCAATTTTTGAATTTTATTCTCGAACAAATCCAATATTTAAATAACAGTGACTTTTAATGATTATAAATGCATTTGCTAAAAATAATTACATAAATTTCTGCAATATCAGTTATACATTTCTGGTTTTATTTAGTACTAAATCTATGCTTTATAGTCTCATATAGTCTTTGGGTGTTAATTTGAAATAAATTTGAATAATTAAAGTATAAATTCTCATGAGATAAAGCTACATGCAAATCGCATTCGACAATCCCCAAGGAATATACGTTACATTTCCATCGATGATAGAAATAATTTTTAAAAAATGTACTAAAATTTCTAAACTTCTAATACTAAAATATTAAAACCATCAAACGCACATGGGACCACCCGTTCCTGCAATGATTCGTAGACATTGAAATGGGTCTGGAACTTAATCGAGAGTTGACTTATTCATCACTAATTATAAGGCCACTAGAAACATGTATACGTGTATTCCATCGATTGTATTCTATACGTAATTGTCGTAAATAAATAATTCATGAATGCTATTAGCTATGAGGCAAAAGCGAATATCGCAGTTCGGATGGAAATTGGGAAAAGGGGTTTTCCCAGACGGTCGATCTAATCGTCATTCTCATTAGGGTCACACATTCCTCTCAGTTTCAATTATACCAACACACTACACAGATGATATAAATAGATACAATCAATTTGCGATCACCACTTTGTAAAGTAATGCTGGCTGGACGCCTTCGGTTCCCCGCTACAACACTATTCACTTTGTAATGCAAATCTGCTCCGATAGTCAAGTATTATTATAAGACCCTACCTACCCTGAAGCTCATCCCTACCAATTCTATACTCAATTTACATCCAAATCACATTCGTTATTATTAACTATGAATAGAACTTTCTAAAGTCACAATTTTGCAACGACGTTTGTGATAACATATTTTTTTTCTAAGGGTGGTATAATTAAAGGGTTGCCAAGGCTTCAGACCCTTCGCATAAAGGGATGGAAACGCAATTCTGCTTAATAATTAGTATATGATACTGGAGCGCCGGGGAGCGTTTAATCAACTCGCTAAAAGCTCGACAAAACTAAATCCAAATCTCATACTTGTAGTTTGGGGATGGTCGTACAGTATACTGTGCTGTTGGATGGATTCGCCCAGAATATATTACTAAAGTTTACCTAAAGTATGCACGACGTTTTGCAACTAATTTCAGTGCCCACAACGGCATGCGAAAAATATTTAACTAATTAACTACGCTATTTGTTTTATTCCCCTAAAGGAATTTAACCATTTTGCTAATACAAAGAACATTTTGTTAACTGCATATACAATTATGTATAAAATTTGCTTTAAATTAATTGAGGTTGAATGATAATGATGAAATGACTCTTCAGTCTTCACATTATTAATTTTTCATTCAATTTTTTTAGCAACAAATTTTAAAATTATATTAATTGTAGTATTTATGATAAATCTAACATATATAATTAAATATATAATAGTCATAAAGATAAAAATCCTCATAATTCATTGAATAGAAAATAATTAAGAGATTGATTGAAATTTATCTAATATGCCTAATGTAATGCTCATCTTTGCATCTAACTTTTTGTTGCATTTGACTGAAAAATTAAGATATGTAATAGTGATTTTCAATATGAACATTAAATTTGTAAAAAATTAATAAATAAACCAATAAATTATAAAATCAATTACAATTTAGTAAATATCTTTCTGATAACGATAAAATCATTATTTATAAATTCATTTTTAACATAATATATTTATTTATCATTTAATAAAAAAATCATTTGTAAATCTTTTATATCATGAAAAAGTGTGTTAAAATTTTATTAGAATTAGTTAAATAAACAAATAATGAAATTTGAAATATAAAATAGTATTTTTTTTCAATAATTCCATTCAAAATAAGTATTATATAAAAAAGACAGTAAAACATTCTGCACTAATTAAATTTGTACACAATTAAATGAAATAATTTGAAAGAAATAATAGAATGTTACAATATGTCTTTATTAATTGAAAATTTGAAGTTAATAGTAATATTATAATGTCCATTCAAGTAAAATATGAAATAAAAATCTTTATTATCAAAACTCACAAAAAAACCTTTAATAAAGAAATAAGTTATGACACAAAAAATATGTTAAAATTAAGATAAAATTAATTCAGTAAAAATAAAATAACTTCAATCTTGTATAATTAGAAAAATTAATTAGTTGTCATTTAATTAAAATTGTAATGTAATATCTACATTGTCATAATATTACATAATATTTTTATGTTTTTATTAAATTTCTCAATTAATTGTAATAAAAAAATAGTTGTTACTGTGTAATGTCGTGATTAAATTTATTGCGTTTTCTCAATGATCTGAGATAAAAAAAAATAGTTGTTACTATGTAATATGTAGAATGTAGATTGTGAAAGATTTTACCTGGTGCTCGGAATCTGGCCAACTCGCCGTGCATCCTTGGTCCTGTTCGTCGTCCATTGAGAGTATTGTTGAATAAAGAACAGCCCCGATTATTATAATAATAAAGCACTTTGAATCTATTCGAGTCTCCCGAACAGGTGAAAAGAAAGAACGATGAGGTGAAAAATATTCGAACAACCCCCCCTGTTTTATCAGCGGACTCGTAAACTGATCTAGTCTAAAATATAATACTGTACAGGGTCATTGATCCATTGTTTTAACTGTCACCGACGCATATTTGTTTCAAGCCGGGTCATTCGTCTACTGTTGCTGACTCGTACTGGCTTCGTTGATATTATTGATAAGTCATGATGATGATGATAATGATGATTGCGATGATGTCGATGACGCGGCTGGATACAACATGGTCAGCTGGGAACGCCTTCTTCGCAGTTGGATCGCATGTCGTCGATGCTTCACTTCGTCTCATCCATCTGCAGGACACCGTGCACTGCTGTTGCTGCTGCTCCTGCTGCTGTTCTCTCGCAAACTGACGTCGTTTGAGGGAGAGCAAGAGAGAGAGAGAGAGAAAGAGCAATTGGAAAATTTCTCCCCCGCCGCAAGCGAATCGATATACACACGGCCAACCCTCTCACCCCAAAATTCAAATATTCATCGTGAGAAAATAAACAATTAACTCGGCGATCACTGGCACTGAATTATTAAAAAAAACACGAGACCGATGAGATGATTTACTGCATACTCCCAACGAAACATTAATAACATCGACGCTGTGTGAATCGGAGCAGCTTTTGGAGGGACTTCAATTATTTACCCGCATTTCTGTTATTTATTTTTTTGTTCTCACTCTCTCTCCTTTCTTCCTTCTCGAGTTTCTTTCCTCGAGTTAACGTTGTTCCGGATATCTGCAGGTCTTCTATTTCACCCTTCGTCGTACGGATGTTGGGTGGATGGATGGATAAGGTTGTATGTATGCTGCGTGCATGAAAGTTTTACTCTCCGATCCTGCAGCCCCGATCCTAAAAAGCTACTGCCCCGGCAGGACGAAGGCACCCGGAAACGCGCGAGAGTCCTTCGATCCGGAGCGCAACACATAGCAACCGTGTGCCGGGGGTTCCGCCCTCGCTTGCCGAAGAAAACGTGTTTCACACATCCATAGAAATTTGTGTATGTGCCACCTCACAACAGAAGCAATACGAAATCCCAAAACCCATATCCGATACACACCCGCACAATGTGTATAAATAATATTTTAAAAACGCTCCTCCACCCTGTGCACATTCAATCCCCTATAGGATTTCCAACCAAATTCGAACCTCCGAGAAAACTAAATTGAATATATATGTATATATATCATATATACACACATCAACCAACTTAAACGCAATTTACTTTCATTCAACGCGAATTATTTTATAAAAACATTCTTTAATTAAACTAATATTTTAACAAAATTTTATAATATAAAAATTGCAATCAATTTAATTGGTGATTTATTGTAGCAATTATTATTAAAAATATTTCTTAAAGATACGATTAATTATTCATAATGTACAATAAATCTACATTGTATTTATTACCTCATTATTTTTCTTCATATTGTATAGGGAAATTAAATAAAGATTTTTATTGTCAGCTATAAAGTTTCCTTATAAAAGAACTTTTGGTGCTGGAAATTTACTTCTTTTATAATCTTATACATTACGTTTATATTTGTATTCAATGAACGCCAGGATGTATATAAAATACAAGACAACGAATAAACGAAATATTATAATATTACATCTTCTTATATTAATAGTTTTTTTTTAATAGTAAAATATCTTTGTAATAGAATTATCTGAAAACTTACATTTTTATAGCTTGTATTTTTTTTTATGTCGTGTAATTTTATTCATCAATGTGAACATTGAGTAAATTTAAGATCGCGGTTGATTTATAGGTAATTTATAGTAATGTTTATAGGTAGTTTTTTTTAATTAATCTTTAGGTTAATAAACCCTTTGTCAAAAGGACAACTAAGTTTTATAAATATTAATCAAATAATCGAAATATTTGAAATATTTGATTACAAATACAACTTATAATAATATTAAAATTACAAAATATGTCATAAATCATGAAAAATGTACACAATTATATATAAAAAATTTACATTTATATCCGATAGTTTTATCATTGAAGCTTTATACTGATTATACGTACACATTGAATTTTTATGAAAGAAAAAAAAATCGAAGAATCTTTCAATTTCAATGATATGTGTTTTAATGTTTGGAATAAAACTGCTCCTGGTAGTTCTAACATCATCCATCCATAACTAGTACTAGGTAGTAGTAGCTAATTTAAAGGTCCTTGTTATTTTATGGCGGAGATACTTTCCAGTTAAACAGGGTCGTAAAATGAGGGTGTCGTTACTATGACATGATAACAATGGGTTGGTGCATAATTATGAGACATTGAAATGTATAGCAATAACCAACGAAACTAAAATAAAATAATTTTTTATAGTTTAAGTTTTGAAAAATTGAAATTTGAAAACTGGATTAGTAAATTTAAAATATCAGTAGTTTATTAAAACAAATTGAAAAGTGAACTTAAAGGAGAATTTAAAATTAATTATGGTTATTTAAAAAGTAATAACTCAATTTATTATTTCATTCATCTTAATCAACTAAATTAATTTTCTTTAATGTAATTTAAGATAATTGCACGTTTTCTAGGAATTGGCCTTTATTCTGTTATGTAAATAAATGAACGGAATTCAACGTAGATTATACAAAAAAAATAACTTCCAGGTCAAACTATTTATGTTAAACATGCCCCCGATTTATTATCGTTTTGTGTGAAAGTACAATTCGCCTAAGTTCCTTCCATTATTCCCTAATATCGAATACGAATATCGCGTGCTGCAAGTACAAAGCTGTATTTATTTCTCGCGCGACTGAAAACACTCATTTTCCCTCCTATTAAGTGTTTTGCTTTCAGAAATTTTACTTTGCAATCCATACGTTACAGATTTCTTTTCCAATTATTATTACATTAGTCCATTTATATTTGCAAATATAAGACTATTATGCATCTACATATGAACTAAGCGATAAATGAATTATGAGTATTTTTTTTACAGTAGAAACAAATAATTGTAATTACAATTATATTTTATATTAAACTTTGGTAATTAAAATATTTATTTTTCACCCACGAAATAGCTTCTTCGCCATTACCACATTAAGAGTTCGGACGTCTTGCAAACATAAAGCAATATGTAAAAACAAAGATAATTAAAATAATAGTTTAATTAAATGATTTATTGAATAAATATACAATTATAAAATTAATGCATAAAAACTGGTTGTTTCTTACTTATGTACATTTCGTGAAATTTCTTACTGTTCTTATTGGCATATTTCATAGGTGTATGAAATAGCATATCTTTCAGTTCTGTAGGTAATGGAAACCGTACGCGTCAGATCTTCATCGACGGTGAAAACAATTTTCACAATTCTACCATAATCTCCTCTCTTGATAGTCTCTTTGGTTTCATCCTCTCCAATGCGCTTGACTTCTACTGTCGTCAAAACAGCGACGTGTCTTCTTCGAAAGTACATCTTCTTTCCCATAATAGGTTTTTCAGCAACTTGTGCTGACTTTACCTTAAACTTAATACTTTTCATCCATTCTTCATCAAACTTCTCCAGATTTTTCACTACTTCTAACATACTTTCAGTGTCTTCTCTATTATATTCCTTCACGGATGATGACAAAAACTAATGTTTTCAAGGGGTAATATGGTTTTAGAAAGTTATTTCTGTATAATGAGTTACAAAACAATCATTTCATAATTCTTGGATAACTAATTATATTACCATTATAAATTTTCGCAGAAAAATGCTTCTCTCTGATATACAACAATACTGCTGTTTTGATCAGTGCGAATTCTTCATAGCATGGATTAGAAATTTATAAACAATTTATAAACATGTTAATATGTAAAAACGTAAAGATTTGTTTAAAATATTTTATTTTATTATATTATTAAAAAACAGTTCATTGATATATGCGAATAAAACAAATAGAAATAAATATTTATATTTTTCAATTTAACTTTTAGGGAGTTCAACAATTTGTTTAAAAATAACTAAAGAGACTTGAAATATAGCTGTTTTGAGAGTAAATATGATGATTTTTTTTTAAATAAATTTATTATTTACAATTTTCCACAGGCTGGCAACAAATAAATAATAAATGATAATTAAAACATTTTGTTTATTAAACTACTTTTATTTGTATATTTGAGTATTACTTAAAGAATAATACAAATTCAATTTTGGTATTTGATTTATAACGAAAAAAAAGTAAAACTAATTAAGAAACGAATTAATGTTTACTATTAATTAAGCAACAAAAAATATAAAAATTCCTTTAATCAAATGTACACTTAATTTTCAACTAAAGTTTTGATAATATATAAACTAAAAAAAATCATAATTTTAGTTGAATTAATTCGTTTATTAATATGCAAATTATGCAGAACTATACAATTAATATATAAAAACTGGTTCTTTCTTACTTATGTACATTTCGTGAAATTTCTCATTGTTCTTGTTGGCATATTTCACACATCTATTAGCATATTTTTCAGTTCCGTAGGTAATGGCAACCGTACGCGTCAGATCTTCATCGACGGTGAAAACAATTTTCACAATTCTACCATAACCTCCATAAGTTCCCTTGATAGTCTCCTTAGTTTCATCCTCTCCAATACGCTTGACTTCTACTGTCGTCAAAACAGCGACGTGGCTTCTTCGAAAGTACTTCTTTTTTCCCATAATAAGTTTCTCAGCAACCTGTGCTGACTTTACCTTAAACTTAATACTTTTCATCCAATCTTCATCGAACTTCTCCAGATTTTTCACTTCTTCTAACATGATTTCGTTGACTTCTCTGTTCTGTTCCTTCACATATGACATGACAAAAACTAATGAAATAAATGTAATATCCAAATTATTTTGAAAAGTTTAGGTAAGATTGTTTTGGGAAGTTATTTCTTTATAATGAGAATAACAACGATTTCATATTTCTAGGCTAACTAATTATATTATCATTATACATTTTCTCGGAAAAATGCTTTTCACTGAAAAACAACAATACTGCTGTTTACTGATCAGATTTTTTATAGTTTGGATTAAAATAGTTAATACAAACTAAATTTTAATTGAGCAAAATGAAAATAACTACTAAAAAATAGTATATTAAATTACTTTTTTTATAAAAAAAAATACTTTTTGTGCAATTCTTAGTTTTCTAGAAGATCAATAAAGAATTAAGTAAAAATAAAATATTGAGTAGAAAAATATGTATAAACTACTTTTCTTTTGATTATAAACGTCAGTTTAATATAAAAACCGGCATCAATCTTCTGCTTTGTCTACTGCGAAGTGCGGTTTATTGCGCTGATCTTTATTTAAATCTATTTCTGGAAAATCTCCGAGAATCGGACTTGATTTATATTCACGAATATTTTCGTTCCTTTCTTCGGGGAAAGACAACCACAACATAAATTCATTGTCCATTTGAGATATTTCCACTTTAATACATTATTTTTGTACAATAAATTTATTTTCTTTGTAAAAAGTTATTGACCACAATTTTACAAAGGAATTCTATGTAATATTTCGATCCTGTTAGTATTCTAAAAATTTGAATTATTACAAAAGAATAACCAAAATTTATATAAACTTTTATACATGATTTTTATCTCATTAATTTAATTTAATTGGCAAAACAATAGTTTACAAACTATTTAATTATTGATGTTTTAAATCTAATTAATAAAAAAAATCAACATCATTATGTTTTAATATTTTGTAAAGGAAACCTGTGTGAATTTTATAAAGTCATTTACATGAATGAATTCAGAGATTTCAGTAGGCGAAAAATGTCTGTTTTACATTTCATTTGCGGAACGTACATTTCCGCGCGAATCGGAAACCGGTTATTACTTCAACAGTA